AGCACTAGATTGCACTAGATTAGCACCAATTAGCACTAGACATGCGCTACGCTTCGTCAAAATATAGCTAGTTATTACTATCTACTGTCTGTCTCGGGAGACAATGGAGTTTTGCGCCGTGGTTTGGTCCATAAGTTTTGCAGCGCCTGCTGTGACTATGCAGTCAGATTCTGGAACGGCAGGCCTTGTTGCAGATGGTGCATGTGTACACCTGATCCAGCTGCGATGGAGATGCTGTTCCTCGTTTCCTGCGTGCTCTTTTCTCTGCCCACTGCTCATCCCTATTCCTATCACTTCTTTTCACACCTGACCCTACGATCTGCCTCCAGGTGCTGCGGTCTGCTGCCATGGCTTCCCATGTTTCTGCCTTTCTGGGTTGATGTCACTGCCCTTCAAGTCTCGTTTGCAGACATCTTTAAAACGTAGAGCAGGTCTGCCAGTGGGTCTGGTGCCAGTCGTTATCTCACCATACAGGACTTTTTGGGGATCCGATTATCCTCCATACGCCTGACATGTCCAAGCCATCGCAAGCGTCGTTGTGAAAGCATACATGCTCCAAAGAACATGCTTGGACTGTTTGCTTTTTTCACAACGTCTTTGTTTGGGACACGGTCCTACCATGTGCAGGGCGTCAAGTTCCTATTTTTTCCTATTTTTTCCTATTTTCTGGGCAATTCCTATTTTCTCCTATTTTCGTATTTTTGAGGGCTTTTCATTTTTCTGAATCCAGAATTGTATGTATCCTTCTCAGAATGCAGGAATTTACATTTCAGGTCACCCAATTTTCAAAAATTTACTGGGGAGGACCCCCAGACCCCCACCCCTTACTTTAAATTAACGTAATATACTCTTTACTATCACAGATTTTATTTCTGTAAAGTTGTTTCTCAGTTGGATGTGGTATGTGTATCCAGAAGGGGGGGGGGTCCAGGGGGTCCGGACCCCCATTTTTTACCCCAAAAAAGGGAAAACACATAAAAGATAATTTTCTGCTTAAAAATTTGGAATTCCATCTTGCATTCTAGACATCAAAATTACTGCTCAGATGCTCTCAGAATGCACCAATTTTTAAAAATTTTCTTGGGGGGAGGTCCCCCTAACCCCCCCCCCAAGTGGCAACATGCCTTTTAGACGGCGCATAAGCTGCCTTCGGCACCTTTTTATCAAAGTGCCCTTTATTTCTTACTGGACCCCTCCTTTTTCAAAAAGCCGGATCCGCCCATGTATACATACATGTACGTCATACTATTTTGGAGTAGTCTACATGTATGGGTGCTTATGCATGTATAAACTGCTTATCAATTTTAACATGCATTTCTCATTAAAAACTCAACATATTGTTCGCATGTGATGTAACTCCAAATATGTATATTAATAAAACCATTTGTGGTGGATCGGGATGGCTGTAGGGGTGTTCGGAGGCCATCTAACGCAACAAATATTCCTATTTAACATATATTTTCTCACCAAAATTCCTATTTTCCTCCTATTTGTTCACATCTGAAATTCCTATTTTCTTATTTTTTGAGCGTCACTTGTCACTTGACGCCCTGCATGTGATGCCGAGAATTCTTCTGAGGCAGCGCAGATGGAAGGCGTTGAGGCGGCGCTCCTGGCTGGTGTAGAGTGCCCATGTTTCGCTACCGTGCAGCAATTAGCTCGTAACGACCATACGTTCTCGTATGAACCATAGCGTTTGAGTGTTTAGTGTAGAACCTTGTTTTGTTTCAGCCTCGAAAATTCACATAAGCGAAGCTACTAAAAATCTTCTTGATGAGACTTTTCCAAACCAGTTTACTCTAGCAGAGCGAGGTCTCATTCCTATCAAGGTAGAGTATGACGAGTCCGACGTTCAAATAAACATTTAGCAAATAAAAGCAACATTGCTTTATTTGGTTGTTAAAAAAAACAACCCGAATAAATGTGCGCAGAGCGGGCGTACCATTAAGTATCTTGCTCGATATTGATCATAGATATATCAATATATTAATAATTTTTTTACAGAAGATGCGATTTTATTTAAAGATATCACTTGCTGTCATTCCCTAAAAGATTCTTCCCTAAACTCATATGTATATACACATATATAAAATATATGAATAAATAAATAAACGCATGAATGAAAGATTAATGGGCGCTTGATAATATATAATAAGCAGTAAATGCAAGCATTATAATACCATTGCTATTACTTACTTTTGATTATGTATGCCGGTTACTAAAGATGTACTTTTCGTTCCGTATACCGTGACGCTAATAATTGTATATCTGCCAATAGCAGTAGGCCCCTATATGTATCAGTTACGCAATAACGGTTCGTTCTATTAACACAGGGAAAGGGAGAAATGTTGACATTCTGGTTGCAGTCTGGCCCCGGTCAGCCAAAACCAAAACCAGAACAGCTTCAAACGCCAGAGCAGCAGTAAATGTTGATTTGTGATCTGTTATAGGTGTGTGTGCGTGTATGTGCGTGTGCGTGTACTTATGCGTATGCGCGTGTACGCGGGCGCGCGTGTGTGGATGTGCGTGCGTGCATGCGCGGGAATGTACGGAAAATTAAGAAAATAGAAATAAATAACTTTTAAATAATAGTAATAATAATGTTTTGAATTACAAGTTTAGTATGTGGGAAATGAATGAAATTTTTGTCAGGATTGCAGCTGATTTGCACAGGTTCTTGACGAATTAACACATGCAGCGTTGGTGTCGCGTCTGTATATATCCTCCGCACAATAGCATTCTAGGCGTTAGGTTTGCCTAAACGGTGGTGACTACACCACTCCTCTGCAATACAAACACGTAAAGGCAGAAATATAGAAAATAAATGTATGTGGGTGAATGCGACCGTGATGCGACACAAAGCCGAGTATTTTTACTACAGTAATGTAGCCGCATGCGCGTACTCGGTTGCCCGGCGACTCGATCAATATGTGTTGTGTGTAGAACAGCGCGACAGTGATGGTGACAGTTGTGATAATGGCTGTATACGCCCCCAGTCCATATCTCTCTGTCTGCCTGTGTGTCAGCATGCAGGGCTGTAGTGGCCTCCCAAAAATGTGCTACTGCAGAAAAATGTAAAATCACCCAGTAATAATAGCATAAGTGGCGGTTATGGTGTGTGCCGGCACACATGGCGAACGCCGCAGTCGCGAAGCCCATTCGGGGGGTCTGGGGGCCCTCCCCGAATTTTTTTTTGAAATTTAGAACCTGGAAATGGCATTTCCTGCATTCTCAGGCTATATTGAAAGCAACCAATTCTGATCATTTTAAAAGGTCAATTTGTAAATTCCAAAAAGGATGTAGCTAAATAATGTAGCTAAAAGCTGATGTTTTGACTAAAGTATCTAAAATATATATATGAGTATGATAACTAATAAAACATTGTTTACAAAATTGTATATAATATCCCTATCAGTACATATAATTATGAAAAATAAGCCTATTTTCAATCAGCATTTATATTTTTTACTATCATCTGTATGTTTTGAAGTTTGAATTTGAATCACAATACCTTTGTCATACTAAATACACACGGGAGCTCATTTTTTTCACGGGAGCTCTTTTTCCAAAGTTTGTGAAAAAAAATAGCTCCCGTCAAAAATTTTACGGGAGCTATTTTGAGCCTCATGGGAGCGATTTCGGAGGTTTGAAGAGCGAATCGCTTATCGCTCCCGTTTATTTTTTACCCTGATTCCAAATCTTAGAGCAGTGATATAACACCTATAATTGATCAGTATTAATAGTAATACAAGACAAGTCCAGTCAGATAACAGTCAGCTCCTTGGTTCCCTGCAATTTTTTTTGTCAAAATAGTGTCACGGCGGGGCCGTGCTGCCGTGGCGGCCACTACTGCTGGTATGCTACGTAAGATAACGTTGGTTGATGCCTTCTGCCCTTCTCAAGTGGATAAATCCATGTCATACGACTAATTGGTCACTGATTACTGCTAGCATGCTACTTAAAAGAACGTGGGTTGATGCCTTCTGCCTTTCTCAAGTGGATAAATCCATGGCATACGACTAATTGGTCACTAACTGCATGCCGTCGTGTTATGTGTTGAAGAAAATTGAAATGATCATTATAAAAGATAATGTTATTAGTATACCATTATGCTGGTTTTTGAATCCGATACCTTAACACGGGAGCATTACCATATTAGTTTCTCCATAGAAGTGTGTATATAGTCTATTAGTTTCTCCATAGAAGTGTGTATATAGTCTATTAGTTTCTCCATAAAAGCTCGTGCGCAGCATTATTCGCCAGACAAACAACGAACACGAAGACAAGTAACGATCGAGGGCAGCAGAGATGCGCTTAATTGACACATGTATTATTGTTGTATTATTACTGCAGCATACTGTATTATTATTGCTGTCAAGAATATATACGGTAACTTTTGGAATACGGATAAAATAAAGTTCATTTCTGTCAGATTTTTCGCATTCATTGTTTATCATGATTTATCATTTGAACTTTTATATTGATCTCGCGATGCCTTCCATTCAAACACAACCATCAAACGAATATAGTCATGTTGCACACAAATCGCAAAGCAATATATTGTATGATTTCATTCAGTGTGCGTAGACCATATAATAAAAAATGAGTTTCTATTTAAACTTCCAACTATTGAGGAGTAGGCACCTGGCGCGTTATGGTATGTAAATATACCACATCTAGGTATAACTAACGAGAAAGATTGAATTATTTACACAAGGTCAGTGCATTGTGTCAGTTTTACGAATATGTAAATTTTGATCTTAATTCTTTATGCAAGCATTGCAATACCATATAATATAACGATATTGTAATACGCATTAGTTGACAAAATTTGTAAGTGAAACACGATAAATGCAGGCGCGTTAGTGTAACAAACTAATAATCATACATGCTGTTTATTGCAACATTAAGTGCATAATATATACGACCTCAGAAAAGACTTTCATAGCACAGCTACTTAATAATATCAAGGGGTTCCAGACGGCGAGAAACAGAACTCTTCAGGACTTGTGAACAAATGATTAGGCGATTCCATAATTTCATAACAGAAACCACTGGCTGCAGATTCATGTCCACCCGCTCACACTATACATCTAATATACAAACTATATACATCTATAGATATGACATATGTTATATATGATAACATATATACACATATTATGTGTTTATATGTGTTACAGGTTAGATTTTTGATTAGTTGTAGTGTGAGTGGGCAGTCATATTCCTGCAGCCAGTGGTAGCAACCAACAGCAGCAGCAAGGCTGGAAAAATAAAAGGCACGCATCCACGGCCGCACGCACGCACAGGCCGGGTTGAGTTCGAGTAAAATACGCCAAACCGATACCGAGATTCTACCTAAGCATCAAAATGATATACTCTATACGGAGCCATGATAAAATGATGTAAAAAATTATTCAACTAACAAGTTTTTAATTTATATTAATTAAAAACATTGTTATAAGATATGGAGTAGTATATAAGAAGTATAAACTTGACAACATCTTTTTTCAACATAAGGTCAGTCGAAGCTTTATATTTTAATGAAGCCAAAATAAGTTAACATGACATCATTGATAACGCCTCTATTCCTGAATCACAGCGTATGCATATTATACACTACTCTCTAAAATATTAACAAATGAGCGTATTGGTTTTCGTTAGCATTCGTAAATTAGCATACAAACTATACCTACGTCGCAATAGGTTTTCTGACGTGAAATGATACCATTTCGCGATCACACCTGCAGAAAACAACAATTTCAGTGGCCAAGTAAACGAAATCCCGGCACACAGAGCACATGATAAATTGTTTTAAATATTGGAAGACACTTGCCTACACTACTTGATACGCGGATGACCTACTACAAACTCACAATTTTGCAACAAGTTCTGCCATCACGACAGATAGTCTGCAAAACTGTACGCATTGCAAACACGATTTCTGTCCAGTCAAATGTTGCAAACCTATACAACAATAAAACAAGTGCCGCATAGCGACAGCGCTCATCTAACGTCTACTGCGGTGACTCTGTGGTGGAGTGGAGGGATTCTAGTAAACCCTGTTAGTCCCAAATGTGTTCACATACACGCCGAAACAGTGGAATGCACAGGGATGGTATCAGGAACCTTCTCAAAAGAATGTTCGTTGGGATCGTTTTTATTAGTTGTATAGTGTTTGCCAAACAGTTGACTGCGACAGAAATCGTGTTTGCAATGCGTTACAGTTTTGCAGACTATCTGTCCGTCGAATGCGCAGGAAACTGTTTTGCAAAAATTGGGTTTTGTGTAGGTCATCCGGCGTATCAAGTAGTGTAGGCGTGTGGTCTTCCAATATTTAAAACAATTTATCATGTGCTCTGTGTGCCGGTTTTCGTTTACATTGCGCCCACTGAAATTGTCTTTGTTTTCTGCAGGGTACTGTTGATCGCGAAATTGGTATCATTTCAGCGTCAGAAATACCTATTGCCGACGTAGGTATAAGAATTTGTATGCTAATTTACGAATTGCTACGAAAACCAATACGGCTATTTGTTAATAATTTTAGAGAGTAGTGCTATAATATGCCACTACGCTGTGATTAGGAATAGAGGCGTTATCAATGATGTCATGTTAACTTTCTTGGCTTTCATTAAAATATAACAGCTTTCGACTGACCTTATGTTGAAAAAAGATGTTTGTCAAGGTTATACTTCTCTATATTCTACTCCATATCTTATGACAATGCTTTTTAAATTAATATAAATTTAAAAACTTGTTTAAGGTTGAATAATTTTTACATCATTTTATCATGGCTCGCATAGAGTACTTATCATTTTGAATTGCTTATTCGTAGAATCGGCTGGTATCGGTTTGGACGTATTTTACTCGAACTCAACCCGGCCTGTCCGTTCGCGTGCGGCCTTAGTGGATCGTGCTTCTTTTATTTTCCAGCCTTTTGCTGCTGCTGTGACTTGCTACCACTGCCGCCTGCAGGAATATGACTGCCCACTCACACGTACAACCTAATCAAAAATTAACGCTGTAACACATATAAACACATTAATATGTGTATATATGGTTTATCATAATATAACATTATGTCATATCTAATAGATGATATATAGTTTGTATATTAGATGTTATAGTGTGAGCGGAGCATGGACATTGAATCTGCAGTCAGTGGTTTCTGTGATTAAATTATGGAATCGCCTAATCATTTGTTCACAAGTCCTGAAGAGTTCTGTTCTCCGCCTCTCGTGGAAGGCGCCTTATTATGTATGTAAGAGCTGCCCTGATGAGAAGTCTTTGCGTGAGGTCGTTGAGTAATATGTAGCCATTAGAGTGGCATAAAGCAGAATGTATGATTATTAGTTTGTTGTACACTGAACCCCTTGATTTAGTCGTTTTCACGTTACTCAAAGTGGTTTCAACTAATGCCACGGTATGGTACATATCGTTATATTATATGGTATTGCAATGCTTGCATAAAGAAATTAAGATCAAAAAATTTACGATATT